TCTGAACTATATAAAACAGATGTCTTTCTGTTATTTTTAGTATTTAGATCTGGACTGTGTTCGAGGACTTGTTTGTGTAATGATCATAAAGCCATGCTTATAGTATCGCAATATATCGGGATATATCGTATCGTGACCCCTCTGTCATGATATGTTTCGTATTGCCAAATTCTTGCCAATACACAGCCCTAGTTCTGAGCGAAGCTTTTATTGCTTAAGGCAAGCAGTGCTGCCTGAAACCGGAAGTTCCAGTCTTTAAATACAGGGATCTTCAGTGCCTGGTACGCCCACTACAGGCTTACGACTGAATCGCAGGCACTCGTAAAGAAAATATCTTTCCTAATGAATTTATAATGGTTTATCTTTGTGTTGTCATGATGTTTTGGGCATGTAACTAAAACTATTTTAATCAGGACATTACAATAGTCAAACAATAGAGTATAAATATCAAGCCTTAAAAAGGAAACTAAGACAAATGGTGTGGTGCTTCAAATCAGTATCTAACTGACTAATAAATTCCTTCAGATCCATCCTACCATTAGTGGTTAGCACTGACGCCTCACAGCAAGAAGGTCCTGGGTTCGGTCCCCAGTAATACCTTGTATTGCAGTGTTAGCTAAAAATAATACCTCAATATAGAAAAGATCAATAACAGCCAATTCTAATGTGGAGTAGAGTAACTAAAGACAGCATCAGAGTGAGGAAATGTGGTCATTTGTGGTCTGAGCTTGATCAGCACACTGCTTTTGATGTTGGACACAAAAACAGACCTCAGTCAGATCAGTACACAATACTGGAGCTATCCATGGCTGTGTATTCAGCCCCCTATCTGTTTAGTATGGACTCTGAACCAAAAGAGAACTTATTTTAAGGTGTTCATTGACATGACCATTAGAAACAATGATTGAATCAAGAGGAAACAGACTCTCTTGAAGGAATTATTCTCAGAAAACCCAAATCAGATTGCTGATACTTATGAAGGAGATGATCTTGGTATTGGAGCCGAAGTGGTGAAGGAGAATACTTTTAGTCTCCTGGAGATAATCATCACACATACTAACTTTCATAATGAAAGCTCTCAAGCAGCTGTTTAAGACCTCAGATGGATTAATATCCTTGTTCAGTTCATGACTGCAGTGAGCCAGAATGGTGACAAAGTGGACCAAGATGTGAGCTAGCCAAAATATCACAAACCAGAACTTTTTCTGTCCCCATCTACCAAACATCTGGGATACTGGGGAGACAACATGTTTGTTTGTAGCTAAAATGTTACCAAGAGACTCTAGACTTTTAGAATAATTCTATTTTTTTTTGTTTGTGACATTCCTGAAGACATTCTCAACATTTCCCTACAACAGTAATTATTCACCACTAAAATATTTACAAATATTGACCTAACATTTGGTGAGAGTAGCTGAGGGTCATTCTCAACTCATACTTTGAGCTCAACAGGTTGCAAAGTGTGTTTGTTTAAAACTGACGTGAACTGTTCGACTCAACTCTGTCTGTGATCATGAATCACTTGACAAATTTTAAATAAAGGAAGTGGATTACACCGTGTAGGTTTGCTGTCTGACCACATTGTGTAGCTCCGAAGTGAGCAGCTCAGTTTACAGTATGTTTGATGTTGGGGCCAAACTGACAGCGACATTCCAGCTAAAGATAAACCAGGAGAGGAGGATTTCAGCCCACACAGCCACAAAAGGAAAACTTGTCATGTTAGAGTTGGGCTGCCAGTGAGAGAAGTGTTTAAGTCTCAGCTTTGCCTTTTACAGCTCTTCTCAAGCACTGAGCAGGAGCTAAAAACATTAGTGTCTCCATGAGCATAAATGGAACTGGAGCATTTCTTTTCCAGGAGCAGAACTGCTACAGATCTGTGTCGGTTTTCTCAAAATACAAGTTATGGTACAATATGAAAGATTATTATCTGTAAAGCACTGTGTTGATAATTCACCTTGGCTTGGATTTGTTCTATTGCTGCATTGGCTCCGTTTTAGTTGATTTCAGTTTCAGTTTTATGTTCATTTTTTTGTTTCCCAAGCTGAAAGTCCTTACCCATCATATGTTTCTGTAGGCTGCTGGAAATGCTGTGAAGCGAGCTTCTGATAACCTGGTGAAAGCAGCACAGAAAGCAGCGTTTGACGCTCAGGACGACCAGGCTGTGGTGGTGAAGAGCAAGATGGTGGGAGGCATTGCTCAGGTGAGTCAAAGGGCCTAAATGCACAAGTCACCATCAACACGTGGACAAATACAGGAGGGCAAGAAAAAGTGCAAAGTTGGCCATTTGTATCGTTTTATTCACATTTTGCAAGACATATCAGAATCAGTTTTATTGCCATTGTCAGTGAACAGGATTCACAGACTAGGAATTTGCTTTGGTGTAAAGGTGCAATAAGTATAAAATATAACAAATAAAGAAAATACAAATGATAAAGAAAAAATAGAATAGAATATATAAAACATGTACACCAGTTCAACACAGTAATCAGAGCAGACTATATAGTTGAAAACAGAAACATATGATCTTGTTGGCAGTTATCCAGTGAGATTCTTCAGAAACACCTAAATGTATTGTCATGTTTGTTTAAAGGGGGTAGTGCTTTGTGTAATTAGGCAGTGCTTTGTGTAGTTAGGCAGTGCTTTGTACCAAAAAGTGTTTTTGTATCTGTGAATGGCTACCACAACAGATTCAAGGATTTCACAAACATGCATGAATGAGTCAAAGCAAAACTCTGTTTTTGACCAGGGAAAGACATTATAACATGATATAAAGCTCAAAAAAGTTGATTTTACATAAACTCCCTTTAATAATTTGGACCATTTGGGAATTTTCTCTAACTACTGGTTCACAAATACAGTCACCAACAACTAAAAGTTTAAACTGGCAAAGATTCTGTGTGTGTGTGCGTGCGTGCGTGCGTGCGTGCGTGTGTGTGTGTGTGTGTGTGTGTGTGTTTAAACGTGCGGGTTAGAAGCTGTTGACTAACAGGCTGTGGTGACGTTCCAGATTATTGCGGCTCAGGAGGAGATGCTGCGGAAAGAAAAGGAGCTGGAGGAGGCCAGGAAGAGGCTGGCCATGATCCGACAGCAGCAGTACAAGTTCCTCCCCTCTGAGCTGCGAGAGGACGGCCAGGAACAGTGAGAGTGTGTGTGTGAGCGTGTGTGTGTGTGTGTGTGTTTGTGTGGAGGGCTGTTGCACCGACAATCAGCATCATCAGTATCATTGGAATGCTCAGGACCTCCCATCTGCTAATAACTTCAGCACCGATGCAACTCTGGGCAGACTCATTCCACCTTAACATTAACATATCAGGAGGCATCTTATTAATCCAGGATGGTGTGAAATTTTTGTTGAATAATGGCAGGTATTCTATGTTTTGCTAATGCCGAATTATCTGCATTCAAGTGCTAATTAAGTTATCTGTGCTTTTGATAACGTGTTCATAAATGTCTCTTTATTTTCCAAGTTTGTGCGTTGGAACTGTGTGGCGTTGTAAAGTGACAACGTCATAGCAGTAAGTTAGTCTGTTACAGCCCGTAGTCATAAAGATGGAGTCTAATAGTACAATTTATGTTTCAATGCCAAAATATTCATATCTATGCAAATTTATTCTCTTTGCTTTGTGTCTTTTGTTGATTTGATATTTTTTGTCTGAACACAATTCCAAAGAGCCTTGATGTTTTGGCAGTAAAAAAAGCCTTATATCCTCAATAACATTCAGTTTGTTACTTTTACTGGAAAAAATTAAATAAAAGCAGAATAGTGTTTTACATCCAAAAAATAATTAAAAGATTTTAAACAAATCAGTATTTTTTAAAAAATGAGCTCTGAACTATATAAAACAGATGTCTTTCTGTTATTTTTAGTATTTAGATCTGGACTGTGTTCGAGGACTTGTTTGTGTAATGATCATAAAGCCATATATTTAATGTCAGAACATTTCATATCAGCATGACTGTATGACAACACTCCAGTAATGTATGCGTCAAAACATATCTGGTGCCATTTGTAGCAGATTTCACAGATTTTACCAGGTTTTTTATGGGCCTAGTATTAAGATGTCCTTACAGACAAAACTATTTGTGCTTTAATCATGTGTTCATTTGAAATTTATCAAGTATTACTGATTCTGTTTGCCGTAGAAGTGCAATAACTTCATCACTCCGCTAAGTATCAGCACAGATAGCTTTATTTTCTTTCACGTAATGTTAGAGCCAACAGAGAAGTTTGCAGTATAAAACTGTAATCATTCAAACTTTGATCACATTTTGACTTATCATGGTAGAATTATAATGCTGGTGCACATTAGTATCACCTGCCGGGCACTGTAATAGAGATTTATATACAATAAAGCAAATTTTCACTGAAACTGTTGTTTTTATTTGTGTTGTTTTATGGCAGCAGTTTGTCTGTTTGTCTGTTAGCCAAAAATTTCATGAAGCTCTGAACAGATTTCAATAAAACTCAAAGGAATTATTAAATAAACACACACACACACACACAGAGAGAGAGAGAGAGATAGACAGACTCACTGGCCACTTTATCAGATACACCTGTCCAACTGCTCATTAACGCAAATGTCAAATCAGCCAATCACATGGCAGCAGCTCAATTCATTTAGGCATGTAGACATGGCCAAGACGATCTGCTGCAGTTCAAACTGAGCATCAGTATGGAGAAGAAAGGTGATTTAAGTGACTTTTAATGTGGCATGGTTGTTTTTGCCAGACGGGCTGGTCTGAGTATTTCAGAAACTGCTGATCTACTGGGATTGTCACCCACAACCATCTCTAGGGTTTACAGAGAATGGTCTGAAAAAGAGAAAACATCCAGTGAGCGGCAGTCCTGTGGGCACAAATGTCTTGTCGATGTCAGAGGAGAAAGGCCAGACTGGTTTGAGCTGATAGAATGACAACAGTTACTCAACCACTCGTTACACCCGAGGTCTGTAGAAGAGCATCTCTGAACACACAACACATTACATCAAACCTTGAGGCAGCTAAGAACAGAAAACTGAGGCTACAATTCACACAGACTCACCAAAACTGAGCAATAGAAGATTGGAAAAACGTTGCCTGGTCTGATGAGTCTCGATTTCTGCTGCGACATTCAGATGGTAGGTTCAGAATTTGGCATCAACAACATGAAAGCATGGATCCATCCTGCCTTGTATCAACGGTTCAGGCTGGTGGTGGTGATGCAATGGTGTGGGGGATATTTTCCTGACACACTTTGGGCCCTTTAATACCAATTGAGCATCGTGACAATGCTGCAGCCTACCTGAGTATTGTTACTGACCATGTCCATCCCTTTAGGACCACAGTGTACCATCTTCTGACCATGTCCATCCCTTTATGACCACAGTGTACCATCTTCTGACCATGTCCATCCCTTTATGACCACAGTGTACCCATCTTCTGATGGCTACTTCCAGCAGGATAACGCTCCATGTCATAAAGCATGAATCATCTCAGACTGGTTTCTTGAACACAATGAGTTCACTGTACTGGAATGGCTCCACAGTCACCAGATCTCAATCCAGTAGAGACCTTTGGGATGTGGTGGAACAGGAGATTCACATCATGGATGTGCAGCCGACAAATCTGCAGCAACTTCATGATACTATCATACCAACATGGACCAGACTCTGAGGAATGTTTCCAGCACCTTGTTGAACCTTTGCCACGAAGGATTAAGGCAGTTCTGAAGGCAAAAGGGGTCCAACCCAGTCCTAGCAAGGTGTACCTAATAAAGTGGCCGGTGAGTGTATATTAAAAACTCAAAAAGGAAATTTGTGTTATGTAGATTATTTATTTAATGTAACAATGCTTCTGGGCAATAAATCTTATGATTGGCAGCACCTGGAGGTATCAGAAGCTTAAAACAAGTGTCAATAACTTTAATACTGTACATGGGTATAAGCTGCTTGGTAGAGAAAATTTGGCAAAGTTCTCGTGTGTAACCCACATACTCAGCTCTACTGCTCATCACACAAATGCAAGTTCCTTACAAATGTGGCACCATTTAAAAAGAGACATTAACAGACTTTCCAACAGTATAAGATGAATTGCCAAGAAGCATTGTTACAATAAAGAAATAAACTACCAAACACAAATGCCCTTACTTTTTTTTGCTATGTAGTTCAAAACATTAAAATAATTTTTTTTACGGAAACCACCAATATATATTTATTTTTTCAACATGTAACAAAGAGTTGCTTATTCTAAGTGTGTTTGAAGCTGTTTTGTTTTTAATTCAAAGATGTTGGGGACCAAATGGAAATGGATCAGTGGCCACTTCTGGCCCTCCAGCCATGGTTTGCTCATGAGAACAATAGAAAAAAATGTCATGGCACAGCCTAACTAAATATTATGAGAAGTCCTGTTCAGAAAAAGATTTTTAAAATATGTCCTACATTCCAGTATTTTGTTTTTTTTAGCTTTTTTTTCTCCATCACTGAGCTCACATGTGAAAAACGTGTTCCACAGTTTCAAGTTTAACGCTTATCTGATGATCTTTTTTTGATAATGTAGACCAATTAATGTCAATCTTTTCTTTCTTTCAATAGCAGGTCTGTGTTTAGGTTTACTGAGACAAAACTAATCAGGAAACCTAAAGATGTGTTGAAGAAAGTCATTTACCACTAAAAAGATGACACTGAGCAAAAGTAGGTTGGGAAAGTATTTACTTCATCATTCCAGGACWTTTAATTGTGTCCTTGTCCTGCTGGAAGGAGAACCTCTGTCCCCATCCTAACTTTCTGAAAGATTCAAACTGTTTTTTTTTTCAAGAATTTAACTTTACGTTGGTCTCTCTATCTTTCCTGAGCAGATTTCCAGGCCCTGTTTGTGATAAACATCTGCTGCCACCACCATGCTTCACTGTGGGGATGGTTTTCTCAGACATGATTTTCTTGATGGACCAAAAATTTTTTATTTTAGCATAATTTGACCACCTTCCATGTGTTTCTGGAGCCTCCAGTATGACCAGTAACTACACTTTATTTCCCATTTTTATATTCTTCTATAGCAGGTCCGTATTCTGTCAAACAAATCATTTTACTGAGACAAAATCAGGGAGCAGCTGAGTATTTGATGCTAAATTAAAACAATTTATATCTGATGATTTATAGCAGTGAACCCTGCAGAACTCCACGACTAACTCTCTTGTGTAGGATTCCTCTTGCATGAACTGGGATTTGTCAGATAAATATGACTTAAACCAACTCAGTGCTGTTCCCATAATCCTGATAAGTTCAATATAAGGATGTGGTTGACTGCACAGTATTAAATGAAACTCAAGGCAAGTATAGGACACAAGTCCCAGTCTGAGGCCAGAAGCATATCATCAGTACCAGTCATTAGTAAGGATGGAATGATCTCAAGTGGAGGAGTTTAAATATCTGAGTGTCTTGTCCCTGAGCGGGAGATGGGTCAACAGTTGGAGCCTCGTCCTCAGTAATGAGGGTGTTGCTTCGGTCATTCATGGTGAAGAAAGCTGAGCTGAAAGGCAAAGCTATCAGTTTTCTGGACTGTCTGTGTTCCATCCCTCACATGTGGTCATGAGATCATGACCCAAAGAATGAGATCCTGGATGCAAGTGTCTGAAATGAGCTTCCTTCAGAGGGAGGCCTGACTCAGCCGGAGCTCCGTTATTCAGGAGGAGCTCTGAGTTGAGCCGCTGCTCCTCCACGTCGAAAGGAGTTAGTTGAGGTGGTTCATTTGATTAGGATGAATCCTGGACGCCGCCTTTTAGAGGTGTTCCTCTAAAACAAAGGTTTAGTATACATCAAAGCTAAAAATGTGGTACATCAAGTCAAGTCAAGTCAACTTTATTATCCTTGATGGGGCAATTTGCTGTGCAGACAGCAGTGACAAAAGAAGAAGAAAAAGAAAAACATACACGTACAATGCAGAAAAAAAACAGTCACTAAAGAGAGGTGGATCCGATCCAGAATAGAGGTACCAGTCGAGGGGAAAACCTCTCAAAACCTTTTGGTTGGGATGAGAATCTGGAAGATTTAATGATGTTTTTGGATGAAAGAATCGTTGTTGATAATTTAGAGATCAACTGGGCACAAATGTTTAAAACACAAATCAAGTTCTGCTGTTTTAACTGAAGCTGATGAGATTTTATCTGAGGTGGAAACTATGCAGTTTTTCCACTAATAAAAAAAATCTTTGTGATGAAGTCACCCCAGCAGAAAGTGGAGGAATGCACTGCTCACAGTGTTAGTCTGAACAGAAACCTGTCGTTGTTCTTATTAAAGATGAACAGGAACCAGTTCTAGCTGCACGACGTTTCCAATCACCGTCTACTTTTGAGTTTTCTCATGGTCTGATTTAAAACACACAGCTGTGAATCTGACCGAGGATCCATCCTCCAGCACATAAAATAAACCAGAAAGACAAACCCTTTTTCCAACCGATTGCTCTTTTTTTCGGCAGTTATTTTCTTTTCCAGTCTGCTATACTCATTTTCATGATATTCAGCTTGTGTTTGTTTTAGTCATTAAGACGTTAGAGTTGGTGTATATTACAGAGTTTTAGCTCAAGACACTTAATTTCTGCTTACATAAAGAGGTCAGTGAGGACATTTTACAGATTTATTGGAGAGCAGAAGAGAATTTGTTGTTGTTCAGAACCACACTTGCTCTTTGGGAGGAAAGTGGAAATAACTTCATAAATACTGAAGATTTTTCCTTATAAATATTTGGGATTGAGCTGCTGTTTTCTGTCTCATACAGAGTGATGACACACACACGTTGCTGTGCACAGTTCTGATTTATACACACACACACACACACACTAACAGCTCTCGCTGCCTAAATATGGGCAACAACTTTTAGGCTCCAGCAGCTGGTGGGCCGTTCCTATCTGTGAGATCTCTTTTTGCCTTTCAGTCAAGCCCCACAGCTCGCTCCTGTCCACCTGCCTGAGCCTCCATCAGGATAACCGACTGCTCCTACCTTGTCTTTTCTTCTGTTCTCCGCTGAGAGCCAACACACGCAAACATGGAGGCCATCAAGAAGAAAATGCAGATGCTCAAGCTGGATAAGGAGAATGCCATAGACCGCGCAGAGCAGGCCGAGGTGGACAAGAAAGGAGCAGAGGACAAATGCAAACAGGTGGGTCGATGGGGGCACAGCTCAGTTTGACAGGAGAAAGCGGAGACCCCTTCTATAAGGGGTGTTCTTCATGCGCTGAAACAAAATACAAATCCTTAAAAAAGGTTAACGCAAAAAAACATTTTCTACAGAAATGAGCACAAAATGGTTTGAATTGTCTGGATTTGGACATTATAATGATTCCTTTAGGGAGCTGAAATGAAGTAAACCTTAAAATCAGCATCACCAGCTCTGGTGTTTTTACATCAAGACACTTTTAAACGTCAAAGTCTCACATCAGGAGACAGTTTGACAGAAAACTGCTGAATCTGTAAAAACTTTTCGATGATCAATATTCAAGGACAGCAGTTGGGTATATGTATGTGGAAACATTTTGATTATTATTATAGAAAAAAATATATGTGAACAGAAAATTAAAATGATTCGATTTTGGCTAAATCTGTATTCAGATGCAGTTCTGTTTGGGAAAACAAGAGGACCCGTCTCCTCCACTGGACAGACATGCTGCAGTTGTCAGAATAGAATAGAATAGAATAGAATAGAATAGAATAGAATAGAATAGAATAGAATNGAATAGAATAGAATAGAATAGAATAGAATAGAATAGAATAGAATAGAATAGAATAGAATACAATAGAATAGAAATAACCTTTATTGTCCCACAGAGGGGAAATTCAGGTGTCACAGCAGCATCAGTACAGAAGTTCACACACTAGTTACTTCACAAACTATCAATAGTACACACAAAACAAAATTAACACTTACTAGCCATGATAAAACTACTAATAATAAAAATAAAAATATAATATGAAGAGTTGTTCAAGGATAGAAAAACGATATTTTGTTTCAGAATCCAACATTCAGAATCAGAAGTTTCCTCTTTTGAGTGCAAAAACAGTCCCAACAGACCAATAACTGTAAAGTGAAGTATCACAATGCAGACAAGAAACACAGATGTGCAATTACAGCAGAGTTTAGTGCAAATGATTGTTCAGTTGAGTAATTACAATGAATAGTAACAGTCTAAAACTTTGACTGTAAACGATGTTGCAGCAGCAGGTGTTTAAACACTTGTGATTTCTGTTAACACTTATTGTGAATTTTGGGCGTGGTGCTGGCTATAGAGTCTGACAGCTGCTGGGGGGAAGGATCTGCGATAACGCTCCTTTGTGCACCTCGGATGCAGCAGTCTAAACTTATTCTATTATTCTAATTATTTATTATTCTAAACCTCTAGCTCTATATTTTAGTTTCTCTACTCTGTTCTTTCATTTAAAAAAGAACCAGCTGAAGGTGGATCCAACTATTGTACCGTGGCCATGTTTACACCTGCTGCTTCATCCTTGCGTTACATTAAAGAGGATTTGAGGCTAAAAAGTACATCAAATGATGCGTTCATTTTTACAACTTGGATAAAACAAAGTGTGTGTGTGTGTGTGTGGGGGGGGGGGGTCGTGACAGCAGTGAAATCTGATGAGTGTGAATCTTTATGTTAATCTGATCTTTATGTAATTTTGGTTCTGTCTGAAGAAGTCAAGCTTCCAGAATAGGGAATTTCAGCTGGACTTCCCACTCCTCCACACTGACTGTTTCTGTCAGTTTGTGTTTCACATTATGTTTCATTTGTACTCAGAGGTCAGAACTGATCAGTCCTAAATTGGGGGTAAAAAAAAACACTGACGTGCCCCCATAAAGACAGAATTCCAAGCTCAAAATTAGAAATGTCTGAATCACTCTTGTGAAGTTGTGAAAGCTGCGGTAAAAAAAGAAAACAATTCTACTCTGACAGTTTGAATCTCAGCCTTTCAGTCACCAGTTCCAGACAGAACTGGTGAACAGGTTGCTACAGTGTTTGAATGCAGAGAAAACAGATAAATATATTCTCAGCTTGTGTTTCTTATAACAATGTGTAACAATATAAATGGAGAAAAAGCTTTTAAAAAATCTGAACTACACCTTAATACTGTTCAGCCAGTATCAGAACACATGTTAGGATTTTAGTGTGTCAGCTAAAGGTTTTACTGTGAGCTTGTCCCTGTGATGAACTTGTGATGTTTTATTTTTTATAATACCCAACCTTTATTTATTCCTGTGGTCTCACTGAGTCAGTTCAATTCAATTCAAACATACTTTATTGATCCCAGAGGGAAATTAGGTAAGAGACCTGTTTCAGTGTCCAGGGTGTCATTACACAGAGATAAGAACCAGCTCAATAAAATCTGGATGGATGGATGGATGGATGGATGGATGGATGGATGGACTTGTGTTACTAATAAGAACTAGTCTGGTTGAACTGATCCTCTGGTTTTCCATTATAATTGGAAGTAAATCAACATTGATGGGACATCAGTCATATGATCTGACTGTCCAGTGTTAGTTATGGGTGAGTACAGTGTGTACTCTCTCTCCCAATCTCTAACTTGTGCAGATTAAAAAAACTAAACTTGATTTTGATATTTGATGTATTTTCTGGCCCTAGCTCACTCATTACACTTCAGCGACATGTTGATGATCTGATACAAGCTGGGGTACCTCATGGCAGACTCTGGCTTTGTTGGACCACGATGGCATGTTTTTAATACGCTTTGTGCAAAAGCAACATTAACTGAGGACATTTTGAGATGCAGAAAACTCAAATGACTCTCACCCTGACAGGGCCGAATTACTGCTGGCAATGCAAACCAGGCTCTGGGAACCGAATGGCCAGTAGTAATGGACCTCCAGTCCCATTCTTACACAGCACCCCTCACAGTGTACCCTGGGTAACAGGGTCAAATACCTTCTTCATGTCCACAAAAGACATGTAGACTGCTTGGGTAAGCTTCCATGCTACCTTGAGGACCCTTTAGGTTCAAGGACCGGTCCAGTGTTCCACAGCTGGGACGAAACCAGCAATGTTTTCAACCACTGAGTGGATACTCCTCTCCAGCACCCCTGAATAGACCTTACAGGGGAGGCTGAGGGGAGTGAACAACCACATCAGTCTGCCCATCCTGCCCATGATGTCCATGCAATATTATTAAGCTGCGTAGGCCTAAACAGCCCAACAACATTTAGTCTTAAACTCAGAGCGGATCTCATCCATCCATGTAGACCTGCTACAGTGAAGCCTTGTTGACCTCAGCCCTGGTCATGGAAGATGTGTTGGTGGGATTGAGAAGGTCCTCAAAGTATACTTTCCACTGCTCAGCTCTATCCAAGGCCTCACCAAACTCCTCTCATAAACAATCCTTTGCCTCAGCAACATTTACTTCAACTCAGTCCCAGACAGTAAAAAATAAAATAAAATAAAATAAAATAAAATAAAATAAAATAAAATAATGTACTTTTAACAAGAAGAAACCTCGAGCAGAACTGATTCAGGATGTGCTGAAAGGACAGGACAGACATGTTTTTCTTCATCCCATTCAGGACTTTGAATGCACGTTCTTCTCTCACTCACTTATGTGAGTATACATTTTGTTTTGATTTTTCATGTGAAGAAAAGCATGTCAGTACATCCAACATATGTGATTCTATGGCCACAAACCGACTTTCCTCTAGTCTGCAGCCATCATGGAGTCTGATGGAGGATGAACTAGAAAAGCTGCTTCAGAACAGTTTGCAGCTCAGACCTGCTCTTATAATCAAATAAGCCCCTTTAATCCTAATTTCCTGTTCACTACTAAAATAGTTAGTAACAAGGGTTGTCCTGATACCAGTTTTGTTCAAACTGAGTACGAGTACTTCAAGTTGGGTGCTCTGACAACATCATTATATCATGTTATAATGTTATACTCTCATAAAAAACATGTCCAAAGCCTTGCTTTGACTCATTCATGCATGTTTGAGAAATCCTGCAGTGTTTTTA